TATTTTTTATTCCTGAACCTTGTTCTCAATTCTGTAGTCAAGAGCTTAATATTTTGCTAGAAGGTTCTGTAGGTCTCTGTCACTGGAAGTGGCCAACAGACACTTGGTGATTTTAGGTGGGCTTTGCTCTATCTTAAGGCCATGATCTGTCTCAGAATGGAGCTTCAGGGTCCTGTTTCCTGAGCAGCATGGGCTGGTTCTGCCTGGTGCCTTGTCTGAGGGACACATCTCACCTGGCAGGTGCAGACAACATGGAGGGGAATTTGCAGTAAGTATTGCATGAGGAATGCCTTAAGCATTTTTTAAGTGTTTGGTCCAAGTTCTGGGGATGAAGGTAAGAAATTTTACTTCATTGGCTTTGTCCCTGTCCTGCTGCCTGAGATTGTAGGGATGCTTTAGGTTGGTGCTTTACAGGAGTTCCAGCATGTTGTCATGGAAGTGGTCAAACACAAGACAAGCTTGCTTTAAGCCAGTTAAAGACAGATATGTTAAACCATCCCACCCCTTTCTATCATTGATCTGCATTTTGAGTCTCTCACCTTTCCTTTCCTGACAGGGTTGTTGCTAAAGGTGTCATGGGGTAACCCTAATTTGACTTTGTTGTACTTCACATTCTTGCATTTCTTCCCCCTCTCTGAGGCCAAGTGAGGCACACAGGCTCTAGTTCTGTTAGAGTATGAGCAGCTCCTGGAGGTGACCAAAGAGAGGTCAAAACCACAGGTAGATTCTTTGATCTATCAGCAGCTTTGTAAGCCTTGGCTCAAGAAACATTATTGAAATTTTTGTGAATGGCTGTGGTTTGAGTAGCCCTTTTGGCAATTTGAAAGGGAGTTGGGTGAGAGTACCTGGGGGCGATGCTGGCTTTTTTTTCTTTTCTCCTATCCTATTGCTTTCCAAAGGCTGCATTTTGGGGGACAGCCCATGTGTAGCTATGCTTACACAGGGAACTCATGGATCTGCATCTGTGATTAAGCAGATCTGCATGGCATCTCTCTGACCTGGACTTTGTCACAGCCACACCTGCCCATGAGACATTGGATTTGGATTGCAATTTCTCAGAAACCTCAGCTGGTTCAGTATCAGGCCATGACTCAGCAGTGCTCCTTGTGAGGAATGTGGTCTCGGCAGGCTTTTCTGCTTCTAAATTGATTTCAGGTGCACATCACACTGTCAGCTGCACAAAATTTTCTCTGATTTTTTTTTTTTCATTTCTGGATGCTGAGCATCACTAGAGCATGGCCAATAGGATAAGCGGGAATCTGTTATTCACTGATGTGTACTTTGAATTACCATTCCCAAAACAGATGCAGTAGAGGAGGATGATCATCAGCTGCTTTGGGGAAGAGTTAGTGACTCGTCTTGAGCTGTCACTGAAGATGGGTTCATGCTGGACCTTGTATGGAAGCAACTGAGGTGCAGGCATATGTTCCCTTCTGCTGACTTGGCTGTGGTAACACCAACCACAGCCAGCAAAGACGAGCCAGCAACTGGGAGCAGTAACATCTCAAACTGCAGCAGAGATTGGCCAGACCGCTCCTGTCAGCACTTGGATTCCCTTGCTGTTCATTGAGGAATTAAAAGTTAACTGAGGGCGGTGGTAAAAAATAGGTTTGCCTGCCTAGAAAATGCTAAAACCAATACTGAAAAGCAGAGGTGGATCTGAAGGTAGTTATCTCTCTTGGAGTTTATATGGGGATTAAAACAAGCGTCATCCTTGTAGCACATAGGCAATTTTATAATTGCTGCTGGTATTTCACCTCAGGGTACTCTGTGGGAGGAAGAATTAATTTCCCATCTTTTTCTACGTAATGGAGGCTTGTGATTTTCTGTCAATCTTAAAGGAGAGTCTGTGGCCAAGCTAGATGCCAGAAGTGATTGAATAGTCTGGGATTGGTAGAATCCCAGAAATCAAACTGGGGAAACATGCATGCAGAGAAATGCCACAAGATGTTACATGGCCATTTCACTTCCACATCAACAGGAAAAGACACTACAAGGCTGTGCAAAGCATAAAAAAAACTGCTGTGCAAAGCAGTGGCTGCAAAATTAAAGTACAGGATGTTTTATTAAATGCAATCCTCCCTCACACCCCCCATCTCTTCTTGTTAAAGAGAGAAATCTTTCTTAGTGAAAAGAGCTGTCTCATCTTGAGTACAAGGCAATTTAGACAATTTTTTTTTTCAGGGGGTTAAAGTGGCATGTTTGCACAACACCACCTTCACCCCAGAAAACCTGCCAGCAGTTGATAGATATAAATAGGGACATTTAGGGAGAAAAGCATATTTATGTTTCTTTGAAATGTGCTTGGCTAAAGGCATATTTTTAAGAGAGGGAGTGGAAAAACAAATGGAAAATATTTTCTTTGAAAGGAGAAAAAATAGCAACAAACTGTCCTTCCTAAATAGAGATGCTTGGCTTGTGTGTACTTTACACAGCTGCAGGTCAGACCTTGCAAACAACCACTAAATTAGGTCCAGCTACTTTGATGCTAAAAGCATGGAAGTGCCAGTAATTAAATTGCATCAGATGTAGGCAATGACTGATGTGTCTGTCATTCTCATGATAGCAGAGTTCACTCTGCTGCCATTTGACTGACCCCTCCTTCTTTATGTAAGCAAAAGGAATTTTCTTCTAAGGAAAATCAGCTGGTTTTACACCTTTTGTTTTGTTTTCTGAACTGCTAATCCCCTGAAGGTATAGAAGCTATTTGAAAGAGCAAATCAAAGCTCCAATAATTTAGTGTTATATTATTCGTTGATGTATGGTTTGATTTAGTGGCTACTTATTATATCAGGTTACCATATAATTATCTTAATTATTGACTCCAGAAGTAAGTAGGGGGATTATGAGAGAGACAGGAAGGCCCAGTGGAAAGAGCATGGTTCAGAGAATCAAAACATCTCAGTGTGCTCTTGGCTCCACCACTCATTTTCTCCGAGCCTGAACTCTTCTCTCAGCCAGCCTGTCCATGAAATCAGGAGGGATTGCAGGAACAGGACTCAGATGCTGACTCAGGATTCAACGAGATACAGGAGAGCAGTATAAAAAGGTGAGGGGAAAGTTCTGAATGATAATTGTAAAACTGGCAGAAAAAATAAAAGAATGCAGACCACAGCATGCATTTGCATTGAGGAGTGGAGCACCTCTGTGGGCATGGAGAAAGGCAATTGTGCCATGAAGACCTGAAATTTGAGACTGCATTTCCAGCCTCTGCTTCTGATTTCCCCCACAAAATTAGGCAGCCCTCAGATCCCTTTCTGCAAAACAAGGGTGATAAAAATCATTCTCCCAGCTTTGGTTTTAGCCATTGGAATTATTGGAGCACTGCTCCTCACATAGATGTCAGCCATGGCTCTCACGTGGCTCTTGGGCTCCTAGTTCTTTGTCTGATAACCACTGACCTAAGCCAAAGGTTGGAGTTAGCAGGCACCACCACAAGATAAAAGCTACACTGAAAGGCTGTCAGTGCAGTCCATATTTCCTGTATTGATAATATTTGTCATATACTGACAAAATACTTCATCTATTGACAAGCTGAGTTGCATCTTTTCCCCTGGGAGAGAAGCACACACACTGGTTCTCCTCAGCCTGTGCAAATTACTTTCTCTGCTTCTGCTTCTCTTTCCTGAGCCAGAAAATGGGGATAATAGAATGTATCTATTTCCTTCCTAGAAAAGATCAGTTAATGTGAAATGGTGCATGGTGGCTTAGTGCTGAATAAGTGGGATACTCTAATCCAGCAAGGTATCCTTGTTCTATTGTATGCCTTTTCTGCCTACCATCTGGAGTTGTTCTCTGCTTAGTATTTTCAGTATGTACCATATGTTTTTGCATGAAAATTCAATAAAATATGCATTATACATGAAAAGTGCTGTAGTAAATAAAGGAAGGATGGAATCCAGTCCCCTTTGTGAACGGCAGGGGCCCCAAATCTTCATAAAAGGTTTAGTCTAGTCTGACGTCTGTGCTTTTCTGCAATTTACTCAGTGTCAGTCCTTAGGAGATGCTCTAATTTAAAACAAAACTCTACTTTCCTGATGAGGTTATTCGATATACTTTGGCTGCCCTCTGCTGAGAGCACTGAATAAAACAGGGAAGATGCCCTTTTTCCAAGGAAGGTAACTGGAAGAAATTCCCTGTTTTTCTGTGTGCTGACTCATGTCAGTGCTGCTGTTGGGTGTCTCTCACTGTCTGTTTGTTGCCAGTCAGAGGGCAAAGTCTTCTGAGGTACAGCCCTGTTGGAGTTTTAGTGCCCACCACTCCTTGTCAAGGGCTGAATGGCTTTGTAGGATTGTGAAGGCGTGGACTCAGGCACTGACCATTGTGAAAAATTAAGCAGCATTAAGCAGGGGATGGAGGAATCAGGCTTCTCTGCTCAGGCACTACTGCAGTCCTGCCAGGTGGGATCTGAGCCCTACCTCGGCACCTCACTTCTTAGCAGAGCAATTTCCCATAGGGAACTGTTCCTCATAGGGGTTCCAGCCTCTTCCAGTGCCATCTCCACCCCTCCACAGGCATCACAGCACCAGCACCCTGCTTTATTTCTATAGCTGGGAACTGCACAGGGGTTGTTCCAACATTAACAAGAGTAACTGGAGGACTTGCTGTTCTTGTGAACAAAGTGTGAGCCTCCTGCCCTTGGGAAGGAACAAGGGTCCTGTGCAGATTTTGGTACATGAGTGAAACAATAGCTCTGTTTCAGCTATTGATGCTCTCTGTAATGACCTGCTTTTAATGCTTCCTAGCAAGTTGATTTATTATTATACCTTCAGCTGGGCTGTGCACCAAAGCATTTTGATGATGAAAGGAATGTTACACACACATTTAATTACTGCCCACATTTTTGTATAATTTTATCATTTACTGTTTTAGATGAGACATCGAGTTCTTCTACAGGAAAGATGCCCAGGAAAAAATAGATGATTTAAAAGCTAATCTGGGATGAGTTTGGCACTTATATGTGAGAAAACATAATTGTTCCTTTTGTCCTGCCCTTTCAGATGGTGCCTGATTGCCAAAATGTTCAAGAACTCCCTTATCTGGACATGGTGATTGCAGAGACGTTGCGCATGTACCCACCTGCGTTCAGGTATGGTTTTCTCCCCTTCTGATTACACAGGATTGCTCCCTGGCTCTATAAAATGGAAATCTGCTCTTGGAAGACCAATGGTCTCTCAGTCTCTGTGCCAACATCAATACGGCTTTGTGCATTTGAAAGATATCATGCAGCCTGTTGAAGGAAAGCTGGAAAAATCTGGTATTTCTAAAGCACATTTTTACAGTGAATTGGCCAAGGTTGCTTCCTCACCATTCCTCACATTCCCCAAGTTTAGAGGATGGAGCCATTTTGGAGCAAGTCTGGCCAGAGAAAGCCAGAGGCTGCTGTTTCCATGTGCCTCAGGCTTTGGGGATATACACCAAAACCCATCCCTATCAGTGCCCTGTTGGTTATAGAGCCCTGGTCTGTGGAAGGGTTGCACAGTCTGAAAGCTGTATTTTACATTTCTGTTTAACTTTGGCCCATTTACACTTAGCACTGCTTTATACTAATAGAGCTAAATAATGGTAACATCCATTAACTTTTGAAAGTTTTGTCCCAAGTCACACATGACTTATTCTATATTGATGAACTGAAAACAAGCAAAAAAAGAAATTAGAAAACTGATTCTCAAAGCTCCAACTTATCACAAGTATAAATAAAAATATTAAGAAATACAATTTTTTCAAAGAGATCAGCCAGTTGCAATGCTTCTCATGAAGCTCAGGGAAAAATTCAGATTACTGGAAAGAAGCCAAAGCTGAGCTTGCTGTGAGAGCTTTTGAAAAATTTAACCCATGACTGCAAGCACCTTAGAATGAAAAAAGCTTAAAATCATATTCTCTTCTATATGTTCACCAAGATTGAGAATCAAAATTTTTTTCATGAGCATCTGCAGGATTGTTCAGAGAGTTAATATGAGATATCTACTCCTGGATGAGATGATGGGGTTTTACTGTGTTATACTTGGGGTACCAGTGGAAACTAGTTAAAGTGGCAGGGGTCTTTGAGTTTGGGCTCTATCACTGGGAAACAATCCATGTTTGTCAGATGGGAGACAGAACAAGAATAGAACAAGTTCTTCTGAAGTTTTGTTTGGTGTTGTCAGGGCTGTTTATTGATCTGGCTTTTACTCTGATGGATGTGGAATGTATAGGACAGCCCAGGGCTGCTGAAAGATGTTAATTGCCTATGACAAGGATTATGCTGAATTCAGTGAAAAATCAGTAGCAGCCAAGTTTGTTATTAAATGAGTTGGTTTCATATTTTTTTATGAACTTACTATCCAGAGAACTTTCTCCCCAGAACTCATGTTTCCATTACCACCAAATTCATGTAAGAATGAGAAGGATAGCTTGTCAAAGTGTTTTTGGTTTTTTGGTTTTTGTTTGTTTGTTTGTTTGTTTGTTTAATGCCAGTGTTTTGTTCCAGGTTTGGAGCCTCTGTTATTTGTTTGTCTATGAGAAAGGGAGATGGGTGACAGCAAGGAAAGAATGTGTTTCTGTAATGATACGAGACTGACAGCCCTGAAGCTGAAATCTTTGTTCAACTTTTTAGCAGAGTGTGGGAAGCAGCAAAGGAAGTTCCTGCACATTGCCTCTCCTCTGTGCTTGCAGATGGTGGGGAATAGTTCCCAACTGAGACAGCAGGGCACCCACCTAGGTCTGGGCTGATTTGGGATCTGTAGTGACCACCCAAGCACCAAAAGATCTGGATCAGAACCCCACATGCACACCCACACACAATCTTTTGTAAGACCCAAGCTGGGCTTTGGCAGGTGGCTTTTCTCAGTCTTGTCATGATGAGGTTCCTAAGGACACCTCTGTCACCTCTCACCACAGGGTAGGAGAAAGCAGCAGAGTTTTGTTGTTAACATCGTGCCTGTCTTTGATGAATATATGTGAAATGTGCTTTTCCAAGGCTTGGGCATTAGTTGTATTTCTAGAGTAGCAGCAGAACACTCAGCCCTAATATTACAACTAATATAATATTACAACTAATATAACTAATAATCCCTTGCTAAGTTTCAGGTGCTGCACCAACAGGAGGGAGCTTCTCAAAAAAACTCAAAGCTATATTTACTCTCCTTTTATTCCTGGAGGCAAACCAGCGTACTCCTTCTATCTGTTATTAGAGATGACTGACAGATTTCATAAGCAATTTTCATTACAAAAACGAGTCTAAACCCAACATCAGCAGTAAAATTGCAGTTTAGCGGTTAATGCTTTTGAAAACTGTAAACAACCAGAAATGCTTTCCTGTGAAAAGGGCAAAAGTCAACCACCTGGGCTGGAGCTATGGACTTCTAAGTGGAGATGATTGTAACCTGAGAAGACACTGGGATCAGCAATACTTGTTGTATTTATCTATGAGAAAGTGTTACCCAGAAATTGTTAGGTCAGATGAAGACAGATACTTTTACAGATCTCTCCTGCTGTATTTTTAATCTTTATTAATCATCTGGGATGCATGATGTTGTTGCAGATTCACTAGGGAAGCAGCTAAAGACTGTGTGGTGCTGGGGCAGCATATTCCAGCTGGAGCTGTCATTGAAATTGCAGTTGGACACCTTCACCACAACCCTGAGTTCTGGCCAGAACCTGAGAAGTTCATTCCTGAGAGGTAGGTGGAGAAATGCTTTTCACCCTTTGGTTGAGGCCCTTACTTGGGCCTGTGGACACAGAACTCCAACGTCTGCAGGCACCAGATCTTGCTGCTCTCTCATAGCCCCAGTCACCCACTATTCATCCAAAGCAGCTTTTCCACCAAGAGGAGCCCAGTTGTATTTAGACCATAAAAACATGTTATTTCCACTAAATCAGACAAGTGATGATAGTGGTGTATTCCACAGAAGGTGCAATGTCTGGTCAAGGTTGAACTGGGGCAGAGGTTTTCAGACCTGTTTCCAAATGAGATCCTGTGAATGATGTTTTCTGGGTGCTGAAATTCTGAAGTGGGACAGGCTTGGCTGTAGCTGGGAAACTCATCCAGCTCCTCTCTGGTTCAGAGCCCTCTTTTCACTTGAAACATGACAGTGTGGGTACTCTGTGAGTGGGGAACCTACCCCATCTCCCATTGGGAATTTCCTCCCTGTCTGTAAGTTAGGATCCTTGATTTTTGCTGGGCAAGATGGTTTCACATGGAGCATTTATTATCTTCAGTGGGCAAGGGAAACCCTGTCAAGCTGTGGTTTTGTACCTGCCCTGTGTTACAGGTGCTGGGCTGAGCTTACAGGGAGAGTTTCAGCTGATTGGAGCTGTGTGGAAGCACAATTTAGTTTTGTGGGCAGCTACATTTTTAAACTATTTAGTGGGCAGATGCATTTTAAGCTACCACTACATTCAGAAGTTTACTAAGAAAAGAAGCACCTGCTCCATAAACAACTGGGTGTGAGACTGGCAGCCCAGAACCATCTTTGCCAGTAGGACAAACACATGTGTGGTGTAGATGGGTTTGCCTAATGCTCCTTCTGGAACAAATCTAGGCATATGCTCCATTAGAATCTTTTGGCCATGAAGAAAAGCAATGCCAGGGTGAGAGATTTTGTTGGAGAGGAATCTTAGCAGCAACTGGAAGTCTGGGGTGGGTATTTTTAGCAACGCTTATCTAGAAATGCTTTCTTAATAGTTTGTTCACCACTTTTAACAGTAGTATGAAAGTGTGAAATGGTTAGTAGGGGCTGCAGTGCCCTTGATTCACATAGTGCTGTTTGGTATGAATTTGAGATTAATTCCCTTTTGAACCTTCCCCAAGGAATGATCCGTAAGTACTAACACTCTGCTCAGACTGTATAGCTGGTAATGTTAGCAAGAATTATAAAATCAGAGCATAACAAAAAATGAAATAAAATAATTCAGCTGCAGTCTTCCCCTTTCCCTCCCCCAATATTTCATTTTGAAATTGGTGGTAGGAATAAAACAAAGGAGATTTTAAGTTTACCAGGCTGATATATGGAGGTGAGCAAGGCAAGAATTATCTGATTATGCAACAGTGCTTAGTACATGAATTAATGGTCCTTCAATCTCAAATTAGGGGCCTCTACACTACTTTTTGGAGTAGTGGTTCAATCTTATTTAGGTTTTCAAAGCATGGGGATGGAATTAGTGGAAATACACAATATTCTTTTTTCCAAAGCTCCAATTAGCCTGTATTACCTCTCATCTCTTTCTACCCTGCATGAGTTCTCTGGACCTTAGCAGTCCAAAGTTCTTGGAAACTGAATCCAAAGAGATGAGAGATTTTCATTAAAGATAGATTGGAAATAAAACTCATGTCTCCATGTCCTCTCCTGAAGCCACCACCTGACAAAGGCTGATGGCCATAAGTCAATTATCTTTTTACATAGGATGTCAGGACATAATCTATCAATAGTCCCCAAGACCTATCCCTTAAGATCAATTGAAATAACCAGAACTGAGATTTAAATTAAAACATGGAATTGAGCAAAAAGCATTTCTTGAACTGGTTTCCATCTCTGCACCTTCTAGGTTTACAGAGGAGGCCAAGAAGGAACAACATCCCTTTGCATATCTGCCCTTTGGGGCAGGACCCCGTGGCTGCCTTGGCATGAAAATGGGTTTGTTGGAGACCAAAATGACTCTGCTGAGAATTTTGCAGAAGTTTAAATTCAAGACCTGCCCAGAGACTGAGGTTTGTACATGCAGAGGCTTAAAGATCACACTTGTTAACCTGAGGGAATTGACAGTGTCTTAGGCAGGACAACTGGTTTGCCTTTGTGACTTCTCTTCATTTGAGAAAATTGCCAGAGACACTTCCATAAAAAGGAGAGACCAGGCATGGACTGCATGTTTCAAGCAAAATGTGATTTCAGATCTATAATTTTCCCAACAAACAGACTGTTACACAGCCCTGCCTTAGTGGAGAGCAATATGGCAAGGCCACAGGCAAAATGTCACAATTCATAGAGGGTGAGAATATGTGTACATATTTCACAGGATCTCAGCACTCTAGTATATGCCTATTGCTATGGACATTGCACCCAGCTCTAGAGTTTATAATTTCTTTCTGTTCAGATCTACAGCATTCCTGGGTAACCACTGCTTCAGCCTCTGGCTGTAAATTCTATTTAATATTACACCACCACAGCTGACTGTAAAACAAGCACTTTACAGCTTCCACAGTGATCCTGGTATGAACTGGTCCTCCAGCAAAAATGTCTGTCTGTATGTGGGGGTGTCATACACAGATAAACAAACACAACTGCACGTAAGATGCTCTTTTCTCTTTCAGATTCCTTTGCAGCTCAAATCAAAAGCCACACTTGGACCAAAAAATGGAGTCTACATCGTGCTGGAATCTCGCTAAAAGGGAATGTGCATCCTGAAGCTTTCTGGAATGAGAGCCTTTGTTAGTGAGTCACTGGGTATAACTGTTTTTCAAAACTCCAAGCACAGGTAGGAGCCTAAGTTCCACTGATGGTCAGTAGGTGCTTCTTCACTGCTCTCCTGTGGGACAGCCTCCAGTCACTTTTTAAAATGGGCTCCACAGCCTTTTTTGGATGTTTTCAAATTGCTGTGAATAGTATCTACAAAGAAGCATCCCACTTTCATTTGCTTTTGTTCATCACACTTCTTTTCATTTATCTGTGAGAATGCTTTCCTCATGCTCAGTTTCCACAATTTACAGTAGATTTTAATTTCAATTCATTGTATGACACATCCTTCTCATGAACTTGTGAGTCCCTAGAGAAAGCCCCAAAGGCACCACAGTTACAGCAGAAGACCTGGGATGCAGTGCATTGGATTTTTTCATGAACGCCACCAACAATCAAAGCTGAGGCCCCTGTACAATGCTTAATCTCCACCTGTGTCTGTAAAGTCAAAGAAGTTGCACCTCCTCCATGCTTTTAAATGATTTTAAATACACTTAGATTAACGATTTGCACTTCCATCAACATGACAGAAGAATGAACCAGTAAATTCCAGCAGCTAAGACCAAAGAAATGAGGTGACAGCCATTTTTCTGTCTATTGAGCTGCTGTTGGAAAGGTGGAGACAAAGAAGATAAAAATTTAAAGCAAGCAGGAGGACTGGAGGAAATTTAAAGGTAATCAGAAGCTGTTGGTACTGCATCTGCTTCATGGGGAGGCCTTTCCTTTCCAAACATTGCAGTTGGCACCACCTCTGTCTATCTTGAATCAAGGAAATTAAGAGCATGTGTGCACCAGAGCTGGTGGCAAAGGAGTGGGATCCAGGATCATCAGCAGCTCTCTTGACTCCTGTGACACTGGAGCAGGTCATGTCCCAGGTGCCTCACCCCCTCAGGAAGGATTCTGTCTGATTGCCAGCTGCAGCAGCCCCATGGATCCCTTCAAGCTGTGTGACTGTGCACATGCATCTTCCCAGCCAAAACAATTATAGTTTCCACTCCTCACATTCCCTCTGTGCTACACTTCTGCAAAGCCTCCCCTGCCACAGCTGGTGTTGCACAAGAAGATGGAAGGGGGCACAGCTGGGCCAGCTGACCCCCACTGCACACAGGGACATTCCACACCCTATGGCACCATGCTCAGCACATAAAACTAGGGGAAAAAGAAAGGGAGATGACATTCCAAGTGATGGCATTTGCCTTCCCAAGTCACTGGTGTGCCTGCTGGAGCTCTGCTTCCTGGGGTGGTGGAACACCTGCCTGCACATAGGAAATGGTGAATGAATTCCTTGTTTGGTGTGTGGCTTTTGCTTTAAGTATTAAACTGTCTTTATCTCAATCCATGGGTTTTCTAATTCTTAAAATTCTCTCCCTCATCCCACTATGGGGATGTGAATGAGCAGCTCTGAGGGGCTGAGCTGCTGGCTGGGGTTAAGCCACAACAACAGAACTGTGACAAGAGATTGGTGCAGTCCCAAGACCTTTTTAAAAAATTCATTTATTCTTATAGTTTTTCTTTAAAATTTTTGTATAGAACGAAAACTCATGCAGCACTATAAAAATAAGGACGCACCTTTGGTTCTTTGCAAGTCTTGACTTTCTGCCTGGCTGACAGAGTCTGCTTGAGGGTTCCTTAGGTACAGCATCTCTTGGTGATGTGCACAGAGAAGTGTTGCAGCAGCAGGAGGAAGAGACTGACTGCTCAGCTTCACTGCAAGGATGGAGCCATCTGCTCACTGATGCCTGGCTGGGTCCCCGAGTTTCTCTCCAGCAAGCATCTTTTGCTGCCTTCTTCCCACATGCTGCCTGAACACTGATCAAATTACTGGATCTTGTTCCTCAAAGACTGTCTCTCCTCTTTCATATATATTTTTTTAACATAACTGTATAGGCAACAGTGGTGAAGCACTGACTGGGGAAGTCTTGGAATTGTTCCTTTTTCCATGGAGCATTTCTGGCATGCTAAGCAGAAGTGCCCTGTTACAGACACACTGATTATATGAATTGCTGATGGAGTGATTGTTATTTATTTGAAAAGCAACATGCTGTATTTACCTTAGTTTCTACACATTATGCATAATTTTCCCCTCCTAGAAATAGTGTGCTAGAGGCTGATTTTCTGTATAGCTTACATACACAGATGACAAAAAGCTGGATGGGCCTTGCCTAAAAACTTCCCACCTACCAGAATGAGTAGGAAGTTTATTCCATCTGAAGTAATCTGTCAAAGGCTTGTTTGTATTCCTTACATGAATCAGAAAGTTGTTGTGTGCTTCATTTTTGACAAAATAAGCCAAGCCTAAATCAAGCTTTTCCCTTTTTTACCCATGATTTTGTATAAATTCTTCTTCCCAGTCTCTGCCTCTGCAGCTTGGTGGTGTGCGTGAGCCCTTAGCAGTGAACACTGAGGCAGAAGGCATGGAGTACCTCAGCTTTCTTCATATTCTGGGCAACCAGAGCTCCTGTTTCCTTCTAGAGAGGGCCCACAATTCCCCTGGTCTTCCTTTTATCACCCACATACCAGTAGAAGCTTTTTTTTGTTACCCTTGACCTCCCTTACCAGATTTATTTCTATCAGGACTTGCTTTAGTTTCCTAACCTGATCTCTGACTGCTTAGACAATTTCTCTGTACTCCTCCCAGGCTACTTGGCCTTGCTTCTACCTTCTGTAGACTTCTTTTTTTGTTTGCTCCTTACTCATCCATTAAAGTGTCCTGGTATTTTTGCCTCACTTCTGTCGCAGACATCTTTTTATGCAAATCCTTTCTTAGTTTTTTTTTTTCCTTCCTGAGAAGCTGAGAGGCTCCAGGAACAAAATGTAAACAATGGTTATCTGCTGCTGTAGAATGCAACAGGTGGATCTGTGGTTGGTCCATGTTGGATGTTTGGATTTAGTGACCAGTCATGGCAGAGCTGGCTCTCTCTCTCTCTGTCCGAGCCAGCTGCCTTTGTTATCATTCCTTTCCTTTCTATTCTTAGCTTAGCTAGCCTTCTAAACTTTTCCTTCTATTTTTTAGTATAGTTATAACGTAATATATATATCATAAAATAATAAATCAAGCCTTCTGAAATATGGAGTCAGATCTACATCTCTTGCCTCATCCTGAAAACCCGTGACCACTCTCACACACTTCCTCTTTGTTGGGATGCATGACTCCTGATCTTGGAGGAAGTGATATTTGAATTTTAACAAGCTTTATTTGATGCCTTGTCCTTCCCTTTAATCCTGGCCTGTAAGGTCTCAATCAGCTCCTCCTCCATCCCCAGGTGGAGCTCCATGGTCATTGACAGAGGGTGACACCCCCTTCTCATCTCCTCTGTCCTCCTCAAAAGCCTGTCCATTTCCACTCCAGCATTCCAGTCACAGGAGCCATCCCACCATGTCTGTGTGAGGCCAGTGAGATCACAGACCTGCAGCAGTGCACATCTCTAACCTCATTTTTTATTCTGCATGCTGCATGTACTTGCAAAGAGGCATTCAAGTTGGGCTGGAATTCCTTTGTGCTGCTATTCAGGTGCTCTCCTGCTGAACTCTGAACCCTCTCCAGGCTCTGTGCATCTCTTGCTAGCACTGGCATCAAACTGGGATGCATTGAGGTGCCTCTCCACCAACATAATTTCAAATACTGATGTCACAGGGAGAAAAAACCAGTCTTGAAGTGGCTGCTGCTGTGCATCACATTTTACAGGCTTGGAAAATGAACCAAGAGTCTTTCTCAGCTGCATCCACATTGAACATGGACAGTATGTGTTCAAGCAAACTCACTTGAGTCTGTGCTAAGGGGCTTTCAACCATTCTGCAGGCTTCTGGTTAGGAAGTGTTACGTGTTTTCACCTGTCAGTTTGTAGCACTGTGGAACAGAGAAATTATTTTTGCATTTGAAGTCAGCTTTCTGGAAGTGCATCAACCCTTGCTCTACATGCAGGCTGAGACAGACAGCTAGAGAAGACAGGAAAAAGCCTGCCAACTTTCCAGGAATCCAGGAAGAGCCTCAGGCCATTTGTTCCTTCTCATTAATGGTTGGTGATGCAGTCACTGCAGACATTGCACCAGGACAATCAGTGGTGCTGGATCTCATCCTGGCTGTGTGAGCTCAGCAACACACCCAGAGTGAGCTGTGGCAGGGATCAGTGAGCCTCTGCAAGCACACATTTCCAGGAAAATATGGTTCTAGATTGCCAGCAGCTGTCCAAAACAGAAACTGTTAATATCACTGTAATCAAGGTGTGTTTGTGCACCTATATCACATGGTCCCAAACTGACCTTGAGCTGGGCTGGTTTTAGAATTAACTAAAAAAAAAAACCAACCACAAAAAGATGTCTACCAAACACCCCACCAGAACAAAAGCAAAACAGTAACAACAAAAGCCCCACCCCCAGCACTATGTTTATAATTGCAATAGCAAAACACGGCTTTATATCCTTAAGTAATGGTAACTGTTTAGCATTCTGGTACAATGTGCTTCAGTCAGCAGCAGTTGGGGCTAGGGAGGAACAAGGAAGCTGGTTTAGAATTCCTTTCCTCAGAAACAGCAAGTGTGTTGTCTTGCATTGCTGAGCTGTGAGTTTGTTTAGAATTTGGCATGTGTGTTACAAAAGGGTTTTAGTCATTCTCTGACAGCTGATATGAAGCAAAGGCTGCTTGGTAAAGGAAAGCTTCTATTAAATATGTCTTCTGGTCTTTGTAATGATGACAGAAAGCTGTCATTATGAAATGGTATTTTTAATGAAGACGCTGATAGGAAAAAAGCTTTAAAGTTTTGTACTTTTAAAAATAGTATTCTTAGAAAAACAGAGTTGGGTGGCAGAAATTACTATGCTTCATGGATTGTAAATTGGAACTTTCTAGTCTTACCTGGAATTAAACTGCAGAATTTCCTGTCTGTGCGAGATACTTCAGGCAATGATCACCTCATTTCGCTTTGTTAATCATCCTGGACATAGCTTCACCTGATACCAGACTCTTCCATGTGTTTACAGCAGAAAGCAGGGTAAAAGAATTTAAAGCTGATTTATAAACTGTCTGTCACTGCTTGGTTTATACTGGCCCCACTCACTTTCTTCTGACCTTGAAAAATCCCATGTTTCCAAGATGTTTTTCTCCCTGCACTGCAGGGAGCTGTGGCTACTTTCAAGGAGGGAGTATTCCCTCAGTTGCTAGGATTTCTGCATGCAGAGATGAAACTGTGATGGGCCTGAAGCAAGAAGTGCAATGGAGCTTTGGAGGCCATGAAGTCTATCCTTGGACAAACAGGGAAGCAGCAGTTGTGCTGCCCATGTAACAGCCATCCCACCCAGATCTTCTGCTGGAAGAACTCCAAGTTAAGCAGCATTTCTGCAATTCCCACTTGCCCTTTGGCCCTAAGGCAGCCCTGGAAGCAAAGCTTTTCTCCAAGCCCAGCAGCACTGAGCACCTGCTGTCTGCCATCCACCCAAGTTGCTCTCACCCACCAGCCCCTGCTCTGCCAGGCTGCAGGTATCCAAACCGGATACTGCCACTCCCCTGCTGCCAACTCTTAGACAGGATTTTGGCACCCACATAGCATAAAATCCAGTCAGAAAATCAAGACAAACCTGGCTCCAGGTACCCCTCATGAAAGGGTGCAGTGAACTCTGGCTGGCTGCCAGGCCCCTCTCCAGCACAGCAGAATCAGGGCTCACAAAGCCCCGTGCTCCACACCCCACTGCTGGCACAGCAAAGCTTCTGCTGGCTGGGCTGCCTGCCTTGCCAGGACGGACCTGGTACCAAAAAGGAAACAACCTTCCCAGCTTATCATTCTCCTCACATGGCGTGGGAGTGAGTGACACATTACTGCACTCTTCCTGCTCAGTGGCTTGGCTTAAGTAGCCAAAAGAGATACTCCTCACTCAGAAAAGAGGATCAATGCTACTTTTTGCCCAAAGTTTGGATTTAATACAAACATCTCTTTAATATGTTCATTTCCAAATGCAACCGAAACAGCTGTAGAGGGATTCCTACTGCTTAACAACAACCTCTAAATTTACAAGTGTATTGAAATATTGTGATTTCAATATTGAAAGAGAGAAAACCCTCAGAAGGAGTTTACTGGCTTGAGTACCTGTTTATTTACCATACACAAGAATGTTACTCCTGCAGTTTCAAAAGCGGAAAACATGGCTACTTTTCTTTTCTGTGATAATGGAGAAATAACAGACTACAAAGTACAACAACCAGGAATTTTATTCTGTTTTACTTACACTCATACACATACAAGAATCAAGTTAGAGGTTTTAAAAATACAATAAAAAATATCAATAAAAATATTCCAACTTTTTGCCTGAAAAAGAATGTTTGTTTCAATTTTCTGGCAGAAGATTAACATGACTTTAGCTATCCTAGTTCTTACCTGAAATTCTGCTTATGTTCAGAGGAAGAAATTCAAACAACCAGTATTCTCATTTGCCATTAACGTGTAGATGAACATAGGTTTTGTTTTGGCAGAAAAACTTACTCTGAACAGACAGGAAATCTTTCCTACATAACTGTTATCCTCCTCAAGAAATGTGCTATTTGCTGACAAGCTCTTTTGCTGACATCAGATTTATCCTTTATGTTCTATTACAAATCTTTCAAAATAAGTAATACAACCAATTTGCCTGTCCCTATTCTGTGTTGCAGTGGTATTAAACACAAATGGGAGATATTTAAACACAAATAGGAGATATTTATACACAAATAGGAGATATGCTGCAAGATTTGCAGTTTACAAAAAAGGAGGTCTGCACAACTTTACTCAGCTAATCATGGCCAGGCTCCTGGCTCACAGTGCTGAAGTAATAAAGAGTTACCCAGTGAACACCTGTCAGTCATCATCCAGATAAGTTAAAAAGAAATATATAGAATGTAGCTGAAGATGAGCTTTTTTAGGTCATATAGAAAGTATTTCTTAAGGCTTCTGCAGCACAGTATAGCTAATTTATAGCTACTTTAGCACGTTAATCTTATGATAAAGTATCTATCTATGCATCAGCAACTTTAATCTTAAAAAAATATTTGATAGCTCAAGTTTTTTGATTGCACACATGTAAGCTGACTGTTCAACACTACTATCTCTTCTTCTGATATGAATAATTAAATATTCAATCTAATTTTCAGATTTAAAAGGTTTCAGCTCTGTGGCTGAAGACAACTTCCTAGGTAAGCATGTTTTTCTTGAAAGAAGTCCAATGACAGCTTGATTACATAGGAAATCTGTGAATCTCCTGCACCCAAAGAGGCAGAACAGCCAATGAGAGACACTCACTCACCATCCTTCCCAGCAGCTCTAAGGGACCCATAAAGTTCATCCACAGAACCAAGGTGCTGATAATCCAGCAGGACAAGCAGTATGTTTCCCTCCTAAGTGTGGTATTAAATAACAGTGTGAGTTGCCTCCTCTGCTCCCTCCACAGCACCTGCCAGCACTCTTGTGTTTGTAGGCACAGTGAAAGTCATGAAAAACTTGTGTTCTCAGACGTGAAATACAGTATTTATTTGATACAGTAAATCATCCGAGTCACACAGCACCAAGCAACCTCTGTTATGCTTGTATCTTTGGTAATTGTTTTAAATGAGAAACTCAACAAGTGAAAATAAGTCTCTGCTCTTTTTCAACAAGCAAGTTTAATTTTTTGAGGTTTTGTTGGTGCAGATTAAGTAAGAACAAAAAAGAAGAGTGCTACTATGAATTTATGCAATGAGCTGAGCACAGAGATTGTACAATCACAGTTGCAAACACCTGAATGTCTACTGTTACAGGAGATAGATTACTAAAAAACTGTATTTTATCCAGTTTTGAGTTAAAAGATAAACAGGTAGAGGGATAGTGCCTCTGACAAATGAGCACGAGTAAAAATCTATCCTGAAACAATAACTACAAACTGTTTAAACTTCGCAGTGATGGCCAAACCTCATGCTACAACCATTAGCAATTTCTTCTAATAAATTTATAAAAGGCTCCCAGGTAGGGTAGGGTAATGTGAAAGCTGCTACAAATAGGATACAGAAACAGGGTTTTAGGAATTCTAAAACATCCTCTGTGTCTTTTTATGCTTTGTTTTCTATTACACAGAAAAGACAGAGAAAAAATGTTTCTGAGCACTCACCTATCTGATCACACAGCTTCTTCAAAATCAATTTTTCTCTCTCAAGCCAAAACTAAAAAACTGTTAAAACCAGTTAAACATAAGGATGACAGGTTTTACTGCTATAGAAATCTTGCTGATACCTGGTATTCTATGAGATACTCTGGATAAATCTGCTGCTTCTCAAAGATGACAAAGATAGAAGGGTTTGAGGGGTTATTGACACAACTGTCATAGAATTTTTGGCTGTCCTTCATGGGAGGCCGAACATAATGAGAACTCCCAAGAGTGAACTCCCCCACCAGCACTCGGGCCAGGAACATGGTCTTGGTGTTTGAGTCTGTCCCACAGTAGTTGTCAGAATAAGATGCATCCCTTGCAAAATAGCTGCCTGCAGAAGAGACAGCAAGACAGAGTTTGTCAGACACTAAAGCAGCAGGAACAAAGTGATACTGTGTGAAAATGAATTAATAAACAAACCCATTAAGCAATTCATGAACAGCCTTTCCAAAGCCTTCACCTGTCCTCTATGTCTCTCTTAGTGGCAACAACCACTATGCACTTTTTTGTTTTCACAGCACACATATTAAAAACCAATGTTTAAAACGTTACCATAATCTTCTAAAGGATTTCCTCCTAACCCTAGATGTCCAACTCCCCCACCATCACCACAATTCCTCTCCTGGCACAGGCCACTAATATTCATCAGCACAACTGGACTTGATGATCCTTGTGGGTCCCTTCCATGCTCAAAATACACTGTGATCCTCTAACATTTCTGAGAGTTACAAAGTATTCAAGCAGAAAGGTGTGTAGTCAGCCTATCTCAGCTTGATGTGCTGGTAATTTCCTGTACATAGGACAATATGGAAGGATATAATCTGCTAACAAGGCAAAAAACCTGTAACCAGAAATAGCATTTAGATTCTTGGGGGAAAGAAAATAAAAACAAACAAACAAACGAAAAATCAAAACCAGACTAAAAAAAGCCAGGCTGCTTTTCTGTAGGAGTTGGGAGAAACTGGAACAGCAGTAAGCCTGGAGTCTAGCAGAAACCATCCCTACAACAGAGGCCAGGCCTTTTAGAGTGCCTTAGCTCCAAATGACCCTTGTGAAACTCAGCTCTGTGTCCCACATCATGACACAGAGAAGCCCAGCACTGGCCAAGTACCACCTTGCAAACTTTAGCCCTCTGCAGTGAGTACTGAGAATTTTTAGCAAGTCAAGGATTACTGAAGGAGCTGAAGAACAACCTTTGCCGTAGACTGTCCCATGAAGGCCACAGATTCTCCAGTCAAAGTTTTGCTGGCAGATGGCATCAATGTCTTTTTTACTGGTCCCATGAAATAAAAATCGCTCATCTGCAGCCTTTCCACCATTGCTCTTCTGCATTAGGTCCTTCTGCCTGCAATGAGATGCAGAATCTTTGCAGTTCCACAGTGGCTGTTCCCTCAGGTTCCAGCTACTCAGAAACAATTTTACACAGTATATTCTGAAAATCTTTACAGTAAGGCCTAACCTGGGCATACAAACAAGTTTTCACATTATATAAATGCTTTACTGCAAATGTTTTCTTTCCTTCACTGCCTCTGAAGAGAGAGGGAGGAATCTCAGTGTTATTTTTTTCCTTGAACACCGAAGTTTCTATTAAGGCTTGCCCTCCACGAGTTTTGCATTTAATTTTAAAGGCAGTTTCAATTTTGACCAGCTGCAAAACACTGTGCTAAATGTGACTCATTACCAGCTTCAAGGTTTCACTGGAAGGAAGCTGTCATGGACACAGGCCTGGCAGAAGTCAGGAGCAAGGATTCCTCCCACACAGCCCCGAATCTGACTGTTCTAAGCTCTGTGTCTTGACTGAGCTTTGGCTTTGTTGATACCTCTTATCTAAATGTTGATACTAGGTAGGTATTTCAGTGGGAGAGCGGTAGCAGAGGCATTTCAGGAATGCATGTTCTATCTTTAGCACAGCACATACAGCTAACTGCAGAAACAACAAACACCAGAGCAATGTTTTACCCTTACCATTGATACAGCTCCCAGAGGGATGGGTTCTGAACTCTACAGATCTTTTTAATAGCTGCTTTGGGCATTGTGCGCTGAAAGTCCACTTTGACTTTCTTGTATTCTTCAGAAGAACAGTCAAGCTCAATCAGCTGCAAGGAAAAGTTTGAAAAGTTACTTTGGCACGCTTTTGTGCAGCCACTCAACCCCTCTTAGTATCTGAGTCCAGATATGCATGCATGCATCAAACAGTATCTAAATACATAGCAGAAATGAGCACATAAATAAGGAATTGAGAATTTATGTTGCAGAAAACAAGAGGATATTTTTATTTTATACTTCTGACAGCTAGTGAACACAAACTGCACTCACTGCCTGTTGTGTTTCTAAATCAATTGGAGAGGCTTTAGTCAAACAATTTTAGGGAGAAACATGGTCCCACTACTAAAAATCAGTTCCTTACATGACAGTTCTGAAAGCATGCAAAGCTTACTTGCATATTTTCATAGGAACATTAAAAATGTCAACATTAGTCTTGTTTCTTAGTGACAGCTTGTTGAGGATTTGCATTTTTGCAAGTTAGTGATTTTTGAGCATCAGATAGTACCTTTTCTGTAGGCACAGTTACTAGAATTGACAGAGGAGCTGGTGGAAGCAGAGAGGAAGTCAGAGAAGGTATGCCACACATACATTAACTGGGTGAGTTACAAAGGTAAAGACTGGAATGAATAAAATAATAGTAAATATAATAATAAAAGATCCCATCCTGAACAAGCTGCCCTGAGAGGTTGTGGAGTCTCTGGAGATACTCAAAACCTACCTGGACACAATCCTGTGTGACCTCCTCTAGGTGAACCTGCTTTAGCAGGGCAGTTGGTTTCTGTGATCTCCAGAGATTCCCCCGTCCAAGCCCAACCATTCTGTGAACTCCCCTGATTTCAGAGCAGCTCTCCAGAGACACACAATAGCTTACAGCTAAGGGAATGGCTGCTCTGAAGCTCAGAGGCATCATTTACCTCTGATGCTTTCAGCACATGTTGGGGCATCAAAACTGTGCATTTTGGGCACCAGTACCAGTCTTGTTAACACAGCAAATCTGCCAAGCCAAGGGATTAATAGTAGCAGTGGAAGTCCCTGCTGCCACAGTTTTACTGCCACCATTTGTTTAAATTTGGGTGTGGTTTCACCTCCAAGTCTGTCCAGTGTGGTATCAGGTTTAAATTTACCACTACCTCTGTATTATGCTACATTGAAACAGTCATTTATAAAGCCAGAAGAAACAGTGAACTTGTGATGGAACAAACCTTACATGACAAAACTGACAGAAAGAAAAAACTAAAAAGCTCCAAACCTTGAATCCCAGTTCAGGCAGGGCAGACTTGTCCCAGTGAGCTGGAATGTTCTTAAAACCTTCTGTATGTTTAACACCCCTGTAGATTATAAGACATTACAAATAGACAATTAAAATAAAACTAAACATGACATTTTATGTACATATTATACTAAACATTTTTGTCAAGCTTAGGAAGAATATAGGCAACTGAACATATCAAAAAATATTTCAAAACTGTCATTTCTGTTCAGCATATGAAAATATTTGTTCCAAGTCATTGTGTCAACACTTATGTCAGTAAGCAAGATGCCAAATTAAAAAAAAAAAAAGAAATATATACTCTAAACTAAACACGTAAGATTTCTCTTGCAGAGTTGAATGTATATATATAAAAGCTGTAATAGACCAGGGGAGGTAAATACAAATGCATCCAGTACCACATCAGTGTGACTGAAACAGAATAGATACAGCCCTCTCCTGTACTTACACCCCAATTTTAATTAGTGTGTTTAGCTGCTCTTTTCAGTGTTTAAGCAAGGAATGTGTGCTGCAAGGGAATGTGCAAAAATTGGCTGTTACATGCAACTCTATCTCCTTGCAGGCTCCCACCTTTTGCTCTACCTGTAACAACTACTGCTTTCCTTTCAGATTGTCTGGCTGCTCTCATAAGAATTTTTCTGAACTTGCACTTAGCTTTGAAAATTATTCATCTCAGAAAGAGCTAGTACACATAAATACACTGCTACATGTTGAATTATTTCCTACTTTCCACACTTCCTGTGGCCAAACCCAAATTTTCTTCACTACAGAGGTTTCTGAACTAATTGAAAACTGCTGGCCAGGCTGCAACACTGCCCTGGCCAGACATGGCTGTAGGAGAGGTTTGCCCCTTTCACAATTGCCTTAGCAGCTACTTCTTCATCCTACTTGCAGCCATGGAGGATTCAGCATTCACAAAGCACTAAACCCATCACCCCAGAATAAGCAGCTGTGGTTACCTGGCTTTTGTCTTTTCAACCTCTGCCTGAGAGACAAATTTAGGTCTTCTGCAAATCTTCCTCTCTGTTTTGTAGCAAATGTTTTTCTGCATCATGGCTGAGGGAAAAAAAACAAAACAAAATCCCATGAACAATCAAAGGTGTTTTTGAAAGCCTTCACACTGCAGCTACATTTGTCACCAAGTTGTTTTGTCAAAAACATAGACAAAAAGGCTCCCTCCTCCTCATTTTGCAACTTTTTGGGATACTTTTTTTCCTACATTTAGTTGTAGATTTCAAAACCTGTAAACACAATCCAACATCTATCACAGACCATTTATTTTTATTGGCCACCAAGAGAAACAAGTCACAGCAACCTGAATTTTAGAGGCATTCCTTCTGGATCTTGGAAACTCTGCAGCTATTGTGACATCATACTAACAATTAATTGTCAGTACCAGCCAGGACAATGAGGCCTTATCTTTAGAGAGAGATACACAGGAAAACAAACAAAAAAACCTCTTGACACCACCAAGCCTAGAAGTGAAGTTCTTAAAGACATCTACACTGCATATATTTGCCTAAGTTACTAAAAAAACCCAAACCTTAGAAAAGGGATTGATTCACTATGCAATTTTCACTTCTAAGCTGGCCAAGTTTTCCCGGTATTGCTTTTGATTGAATCACAAACAACACATAACACGTCCTTTCTGGTTTTTTGGTTTGGGTTTTTGTGTTTGGCTTTTTTTCATGCAGAATGAGATAGCAATGAAAAGCTGGATCAAAGACAACTACACCAAACTGACAGTCCAGGCAGGCTGATTCTCATCACTGTTATACATAATTTTTGAAAATGATGCCAGCAAAAGCAACAGCTCAGAGAGGACAATGCCATCACAAGTAGCTTATATTTCCTGAACTCTTGGGAAACATTTCGTCCTACCTTGACATAGTCAAGGTGTTTTCTCAGCCTTTGCAGACAGGATGAAAAGAAAATATGTGCAAAAATCTTGCAATGCTAAGCACTGTCTGGATCCTACATTTTGTCCAAGTGGGGTTTTTATCTGCAAACCAGTGATTAAAGTAGAGCAGAAGCTGGCTTGTCAAGTCTTCTAGAAGTTCCTCAGCATTTGTGTTGGTGCCAGTATCAGTGTCATACTCAGGACTTTCTGGCAGACATTTTGAAACCTAGCACAAGAACTCCTCAAAAATAAAAGCTTTGAAAGAATAGAATGCCACTCTACTTATGTGAACAGCTCTTATCCTGAGAACTGTGATAGAAACTCTGTCTCTGTAAGCATTGCAATTCAAAGTCCAAATTTCTCTCTTCTATCTCCTGTAATAAGGTAATTCAGAACCACAAGATATCTGGGAGGGAAGGACAAAACACAAAAACAAAACAAATGCAACCTACACACAAAATTTATTTCATATTCATGTCTTCCAGCTTTGAAGGTCATCTTTGGAGAACTTTGAGTCAAATAAGCTTTCTCCAGGTCATCACTGCAGACAGTAGCAGCTGCATGAAGATCATCCTGTCACACCAAAAATAGAGAGAAAAAAAAGTTTCTCCTGGTCTGTTATAGACAAGCAAGTCTAAAAACCAACAACTCTTGTATGTATGGTGGCTGCAGGATATATCAGTGTATGAGAAATCCTTGATTTACAGTGACACATTCACCAACTGGACTAAGCAAGATGGCAGAGTACCACTGGACCTTCAGAGAAGGAGGCTTTTCTCAGAAGCAATGGAAAAAATGTATTATTACTGTGACCCTATCTGAAACAACTCACTGAATAGTTATCTGGTAATATTTGTGACTCATCAGTGATGAGTCTCCCACCTGAACCAATCAAAATCACAGGGAAAATTCCCCATTAGGCCCTTGATGTCCATCTGTATAAGTGAGAGGAAGAGGGTGACAAGAGAGGGGGAGGATATAAGCACTGTGCACTTTTCAGTAGTTCTGCACTTGTCACACAGTGTTATGATCCTCTCCATTTCTCCACACTTACTTGTTTTCCATACTCCTGCCACGTGCCATATTCATCTTTCCAGTACCAGATCCATTCTGTTGTGAGGATGAAGTGAGGGGGTTTGGTCACAGAGGAGGCTGTAGAAAGACGTCTGACTTTTTTCAACCCACAGCACATGTCATGAAAAGAGATACTGAATGGGAAAAGGAACTCTTCAGTAAAAGCACAATCAAATCTATAAAAAAAAAAGAGGGAAAAAAATCAGAACTGTTTGTGAAGCTTTATTCATAGATTCAGAAGCCCACTACAAATTTGCAAATTAAGTCAATCTCACCCAAAAGCAGGACACAAAGGTGCACTTTTCACTACAATGTGTGCTTTGCACCTTGCACTTTTCACAACTCTGTATGCTAGCTCTATTTCATGTTTGTACATATTTTGCATTACAGTACTATGTACCACATTGGTTCTATGGGCAATGATCATAACCCACTCCTAAATCAGAACACTGGAAAACAGGCACTGCCTTCTCCTTGCTGACCAGCTATATTCTAAAGAGAACACTGACATAACTTAAGGAGGGCTTCAAAGAGCCTGTAACATAAGAGGAACAGGTAATTTTCCAGCATGGGATGTGGCATACTGGGATGAGCCCCTTCCAGTACTCTCTTTATGCTATATAACCAGTTCCAAACTCTGAAAGGTATTTCCATATTCTTCACATTCTCTGCTCCCAAGACAGGGGCAAATCCCATGCAAAGTGAGGTCAGTAGAAGAATGTCAAATAAAACTGCTTATGCAATGACTACATTAGAATTGCAGCAATTTATAGCCACTAAGGATCTGGTACAACACAACAAACTCCAAACATTACTAACTTTTATAAGAGTTTATACCTGGCGTTTTTTGGGTCACAATATGCATCTTCTATTTCTTCCATATTTGCGAAGTCCTTCCAGGTATTACCCTCAGAGTACTGCCATCTATATGGCAAGTGAAAATGGGTTCTGATACACTTTTCTGTAAAAGTTTAAAAAGAAAAAGAAGTAGGAGATGCATTATTTTGACAGGCTATGAGAGAACTCCAACATTCCAGGGCTGTGTACCCAGCTGGTGAAATCATCACAAGGATAGCTAGGAAAGTGTTCACCTATGGGACCATTACAAGCAATAGTTCAAAATTTTTCAGCATAAGCAAGCAACACTTGAATTTTTGGGCTTAGGTAGAAGTTCAGTTTTTGTATGTACTAGACTCTCTTTGCACAATTTAAATTGTGCAGATCATTCTCAAAGAGACAAAAAACGATCACAGGCTCCTACAAGGCTATTATTTAATAAATAGAAAAAAGTGTATTTATGATTTAACCACTAAATCACAAAGTGGTATTACTGAGGAAAAATCCAAAGCCCAGCAATGCAGTTTTAAGATAGGAGAAGGACTGTCACTGTTTGACTTCAGATGGTAACTAAGTACAACACAGCCATTTACTCCCATTTCTTTCAGTGAGATGGGGAGAATGGGAAAAGGGTAAATCTGTGCGCTGAAATCAGAACAGTCTAGTAACTGAAACAAAATAGAATATAGCAAGCTCAAGTATATATGCATATATATATATATATATATATATATACATACTCTGGTATAACTATAATGAAGCTAACAAAAAGTGAGACAGGAACAAAGCCCGATAAATACAAGTGATGCACACATGATTGCTCACCACCCACTGACTGGTGCCCAGCCCCTTCCCAAGCAGCAATCAGCCCCTCCAGCCAACTCCCCAGTCTATATGCTGAGCATGATGTTCTAATGGTATGGAATAGCCCTTTGACAAGGTCAGCTGTCCTGGCCATGCTCCTTCCCAGCTTCTTGTGCAGCTCCTCACTGGTAAAACACAGGCAGATGAAAAACTCTTGACTTTGGGTAAGCACTACTTAGCAACTACTAAAGCATCAATGTGTTATCAATGTTATTCTCATCTAAATCCAAAACACAGCACTGTACTGGCTTCTAGGAAGAAAATTAACTCTGTCCCAGATGAAAGCAGGGATGTATCCACCACTTATTCCACAGTATTTATACCATGTCTAGGTCCCACACCTTCCAACACAACCCAGTCAACAACCATCACCTTTCCCCTCTTCTGAAAAATACACAGACATCATTCCTTTAGTCTCAAAGTCCTTTGCCCTTCAGTAAGTCTCCAAGAGATCCAGCAGAGCAATGGTAGCAGTGAGCCAGGTATCAGAGTGTTACAAGAGTTCAAAGTGTCAGTGGGCAGTCACTCCTCAACAGGAGTGAAGGTGACATCACCAGTGCACATGTGCATAAACACCAAGCTAATTTCCACAGCAGAACAAAAGGAAACTTAACTCCAGGCAAAGTCAAGGAGAAACTGCACCACACCTTCATACAGGGAAGCATTCAGTACACAGGTCAAGAACATCAAGAAAAAAAAAGGATGACAAGAAAATCAACAAAAAATCTGGTAAAGCAGCCTTGTTCCTGGACACCCTGGAACATTTTGAAAGGGAGACAGCTAAGACAGATAGAATAGAAGAGTACGAGAAGAAAAAAATTAGAATTCAGAGTATCTTTCATATATTTCCTGCTTGGAAATGTGACTCTTATCATTCAGCAATCCCTTAGGTAAACACAGGTGGAGTAGCCAATCTTCAGCACAAGCATATTCCAGAGCAAAACATCTCCTTTGTTTGGTGTGCCAGGTCAAACACTTTCCTACAGCAGTCAAGACAGCAGTGAGATTTAACTAAACATAAAATCACAGAAAGTTTCCCCTTTCTCTGAAAGATGTCTACCATTTCCTCTTTATGACAACAGAAAAACAGGTTGGACTTGACACAGTCTGTACTGATACTTGAGACAACCTACCTTTAAAGCCACAACCTCTGTACAGATGATGTAAACATATCTGTTCTGATTCATCCTCCTTTGAAGTTGAGGAATCCCGTGCAGCGCTGGGTTTTCCATCTAGAGGGGGGAATTGTAACCATTAACACACTTCAGATCAACAATGCCTCTTAAAAGTGCTCCTGTCCTTGGAAAGAAGCCCAAAGGCAATGATTGTAACCACCTAACTGCACTCAGCCCCAGAAAGACAAGGAAGCCTTTGATAAACTTGGGGACTCAAAGTCCCCTCCCTGTATCCGTCCTTTCTGAACTTGATTTCCCTCTAACTGCTGAATTCCTCAGACACAGATTTTTGCTATCCCCACAAAACGAGAACAGAATCCAATTCCTTTATACTTCCAGATGGACTTGAGTTAAATGTGCATTCCACACAGCTAATCACACTGGCAGCTATAAAATACAAAGTTTCAAAATCTGATACTTTGTAAATTAAAGCACATTAGGGGAAAGGAAGAAGGAACTGCAGGCAGAACAGCAGAGATGAGCATACATACTTGAATTCTCCATTGTGTTATCCTTCTTTTCCCTGCTAAACTATACTTAACTTACAATTCTAAACAAATTCAAAAGAAAAGTGCAAAAAAAAATTACATTTCCAAGAAATAACTAGGATAGTGCTGTTTGTGAATTCTTGTGCCAGACAATCGCTACATTAAAGAAAAACAATTAAAAAGTTCATAATCAGACAACCACTCCTATTCTTAAACAGATCTCTACCTTTACATATTTTACCTAAAAAAACTCCAAAATTATAGAGCTCCCTACTCCCAGCTCCTGTTACACTTATTTAACCCCAAGTTTGAGAATTTTATAAACAACAGCACTCTGTTTCTCAGGAACCTCTCTTGACTTCATTTGTCAAGACAAAGATCTCTGTCAATGAGATAGGTACAAGCTCCGTCCTCGTACACAAATCAAGATGTAAATTCAGTTTTCCTAATGATACCAGTGAAAATATTAAATTCACTACCACGACTCTTCTGATGTATTCAAAAGATGATATTATTTACCTTTGCATGGTGAAGATTTGGCATCTTCTATGTCATACATGCTTCTGTTGCCATTTTTTATGTCATACATGTTTCTAAAAGTGGAAGGTAGTTTCTTGATAATGTCTGAGCTCATCCCCTGTTTCTCCAGTTTCTCAAAACATTCTGGATTTAATAAATCATGGGATCGTTTGCAGCTGCTGCCAAATCTGCACTGACCCCGCAGAAAGTACTGGCAAACATGAAGTTTGGTGCAGGATGTTTTAAAGGAACAAGATCCATAAGGTCCATCACCTTTGTTATAATGCAAGCAGACCTTGGGAAGGAGAAGAAAAAAAGAATTTAAACGTCAAAGTACAATGTGCTCCTTTAGACTGTTTGAATCCATGATTTTTAGGTTTTCTATGGCTACAATGTGCATACATTCGCTTTTGAAAGAAACATTTCTTCTTTCTTTTTGTTTTCCAAATGATTACTTGATAGCTTTTCCTTTGCCCTGCTAATGTTTTGAAGGTCTTTCAAAACACAACATTCTTACAGACATTCTCAAGATGGGATTTAGTGCTAAATCACACCTCTAATTTTCTAGTTTTGGAGTTTTTTTGACTAAGAGCTACTGAATCTGACTGGGATGGAATTAACTTTCTTCACAGCAGACCATACCACACTATGTTTTGGGTTTGGGACCAAAACAGTGTTGATAACACATCCCTTTGGTCTGTCTGGGTGAGCTGTCCTGCCCATGCTCCCTCCTGGCTCCTTGTGCCCCTCCTCACTGGCAGAGCTGCAGAGGCCTGGGACTGAAGGTAAGCACTCAGTGGGTTGCCAACGTGATTTTCATATTAAATCCAAAACACAGCCCTGTTCATGATACCAGTTAAGAAAATTAACTCTATCTCAGCTGAGCCCAGAATAGATAAACACCACACAGCCTCTCAGTCACTCCCTGCAGGGCTGAGATAAACACAGTTTAATATGGCATAACATGAAGAGGAAATAATAACAATGATAAAAGAACAGACAAAACAAGAGATGCACAATGCAATGCTCACCACTCACTGACCAAAGCCCAGCCAGTCCCCACCAGTGTGGCACCACCCCTGGGCCACCTCCCCCCTGCTCCACTGTTCAGAATGATGTCACATGGAATGGAATATCCTTTTGTCCAGTTTGGATAATCCTTTTGTCCAGCTTGGGGCAGCTGTCCTGGCTGCCTTCCCTGCCAGCTTCTTGTGCAGTCTATGGGCTAGCAGGGCAGCGTGAAAAGCTGAAAAGTCCTTGACTTAGAGCAAGCACTGCTCAGCAAAAACTAAAACATGTTATCAACATTGTTTTCACCCTGAATGCAAAACACAGCACTTTATCAGCTATTAGAAAGAAAATTAACTCTATTCCAGACAAAACTAGGAAATGGTCCAAACTGGACAAAGGGATATTTCATGCCACATAATGTCAAATGATAGTGGGGAAGGGGACAGAGAGAAGGTGAAAGAAAGCGGAGATGGATCCTTCTTACAAGGTAGCACTTGTTCAGAGACCTATTGGGTATCAGTCTGCTTTGAGGTGGTGAAGCAGAAGTGTCTTTGCAACACTTCTCCTTGCTTTCCTCCCCTTTCTACACTGTCTTTATCTCCATTCACAGGTTTTGCCACTTCAGTTCTTCTTGTTAATGCTCACCTCCTCTGCTTGTGACAGGGGAGTGAGGAGTGGGTGAGGAACTGTTCAAGAGCTTAGCTGCCAGCCAGGGTCAACCCACCACAGGCGAGAACAGAGGATGCAGGTTTATTTTTAGATTTGCATTAAGCTAACGAAATTGACAACCAATATCTCCACATCTGTCAAGCCTCTTCTACGTTGTGATGCTCACTGAAACACAAGACTAAGAAGCTGTTACAGTAATACTCACCTCTGGTAAGAGGGAAGGGTCATTTTGAAGCAGAAGCTGGCAAAGTTCATCATGGTTTAAATGCTCAAGTCCATAGTACTTTAGAACACGGAGATTGTGGTCTGAGTGGAAGCTGTGAACAAACTTGCATCCCTTCCTAGAACTCAAGAAACCCAAGATCAAAATGACTGGCATTATTTTGATACCCCATGGGCATTAATTACACTGAACAGTGGAAAAGCACACCAAATTAGCTAGGCTCCCAAAAGTCCACATTGCTCATCTATAAAGCCATTATGTGATTTGCAAAGCAGATTACATAATTACTCTGAAGATAATTGCCATGCTACTTCTGATTCACAGCCATTATAGCCTCAGTGCACTCTGACAATATCCACATTTTTGACCTGCAGCTCACAACCACGAAACCAACAAAGCTCCAGAGCACCACTCCCTCTCAGCCAATGAGTGCATCCACCAGGGTCCCACAGCTCAGGGACATGCGGGGACACTCAGCTTTAGCACAGTGCCCAGGGTCCCACAGCACAGGGACGTGAGGGGACACTCAGCTTTAGCACACTGCCCAGGGTCCCGCAGCACAGGGACGTGAGGGGACACTCAGCTTTATCTCATTGCCCATGTCCTGCAGCTCAGGGACCTGTGGGGACACCCAGCTTTAGCTCACTGCCCAGGGTCTCGCAGCTCAGGGATGTGCCACAAAGTTCATCATGGTTTAAATTCTACAGCACAGGGACCTGAGGGGACACTCAGCTCTCCCTGGCACGGCCCTGCCCACGGGGCAGGAAAGCGCCAGGGTGATGAGCCGGGGAGGAAGTGCTGCTGTGAAACCACCGCCTGTGTCTGCCACCTTTGCAACAACACACACGCAAATAAATAAAAGCGGGCAATGAGCATTTCCCAGGCGGAAAGGCCTTTACTGAGAGCTCCTTCCCCTGAAGGGGCACACCGAGCCCCCCGCCATGGCGGCCGCCCCCCGCCCCTCACCTGGCCAGCTGGTTACGGCAGAAGCCCTTCAGGTGGTACTTGCAGATGTGC